TTAATAAAGTATTGATTTTTTGTTCAATGAGTGCATTGTATCGCATAACTTGAAAGGGAGCCAAATATCATATATGATACGGTGTTGCCATTGGTTACCAACACATCATTTTCACAACACAGCGTTTGGAAAGAAGTTTGCAATAATAGCCGGTTTAGTTAGCAAGGATGAATTTATATTTTTCATTAATCAATCATTTGTCTCAAATGCTCACTAATTCTTGAATCCGAGCCAACCCTTAGCATAATATTCTGTGCATATTCTCTGCACAAGTATCTTAAGCCTCGCAGTGAAGCCTATCTTTTGTGCACTACTTCCTCACGAATTTCATGATAATGTCGGCCGAAGACAACGTCCGGGTTGTCATTAGATGTCGACCCCTATTGCAAGACCTGGAGTCCGGTCAAGATGTTTGTGTTGAGGTAATGCCAGTTAAAAGATGTGGTGTCAATGCAATCATTTACTAATTAAAGGATTCTATGTTTGTATGACTCGTAAAATCCTATGCTATCTATGGTTAACAGCTCGACAACGATGGACAGACCATTCGTGTGGCGTCCCGACAGTTCACGTTTGACACAATATTCTCAATGGATTCAACACAAACAGATGTCTTCACACATTCAGCTAAACATATCGTTGATTGTGTTCTTCAGGGATATAACGGTAACAATGGTTTATAGCATATACTGAAGGTCTGAATGTATTCTTTGTTCACTTTTAGGCACAATCTTCGCTTACGGACAGACGGGAACCGGCAAAACATTCACGTCATCAGGAATTATGTCCGCGTCTTTTGATCACATCTTTGATCACATATCTAAGAGTGGAAATGACACCAAATTCTTAGTCAGAGCCTCTTTCTATGAGATATACAATGAAGAGATCAGAGACCTTCTTGTGAGAACTGAATTGTATCCAAACGAGTGCTAATCTATTAATTACTATTTTAGAGTAAGAATAATACAAAGCCATTGGAACTGAAAGAATCGACACAATGTGGTGTCTATGTTAAGGACTTGTCCTG